GAGCGGTGACACTCATTGCTCTAGCCACTAGACACCACTCCCCTGCCAGCACAGTGCTACCCTGGCTCCCCCCGCTAGGGGGCACCCTTGTGCCATTCATGCACCGGACCCCTGGCTGCCCCCACTGTGGGGGAAATCTCGCTCCCCTGGGGGACAGAGCCCCCAGAAAGGTCCGAGGCCGGAGGGCAAATCAGTGAGGCAGGAGAGAAATCTAGAAGGAAAAACTTTCTGCTGCAGGCAGGCTGGCACACCAAGAGTGAAGCAGCCCTGAGGGACAGGTTCAGGGTCCTTTATCCAGAATGCTCAGACAGCTCAGGTGTGGATTGTTTTCTTTACCATATCAAAGGCCCAGCAGAAGCACTCGGCGAGGTTTCTGTTCACCCCAGGAGAGCTAGACGTAAGTTTCACAGAACAAAGCCACATGAGAACTTGAGTGGAGGAGTCTACAAGGCAAACTGTGACAAAGAGAAGGGTTTACATGACAAATTGTGACAGACTAGGAGTCTCCATGAACTTGCGCTAGGAGGCATTGGAAGGGTCTTGATTAGAGTTAATTTGATTTCTCTCTGATACAGGGAGAGGGGCCTGGAAAACTTTTAACCCTTCCAGCAGTTTTCTGTTAGAGAGTTTTGATTTCCTGCACAGTCCCTCCTGGGGAGCCCTGCCTGCTGCCCACACTGCCTCTGGGTCCCCGCCACTCACGTGGTCGCTTTCCAGTTGTCCGTTGCGAACTCAGCCTTCTCGCGCAGCAGCCACATGGTCTGCAGGGATTCCTGCTTGTCCTCATCCATGAAGCACTGGCCCGTGAAGACGGTCGTGGAGTCTGCCGGAAACATGCCGGAGTCAAGCCCAGGGCAGCGACACGGCGTGAATTCTCCTACCCCCGGGTCCGGACGCTGCCGCGAGCGTCACTCTGCTGCTCCTCTCACCAGCCCGGCCGGGAGGGGGGTCTGGCCAGGGGGCCCGCCCAGAAGGGAAGTGACCAGCCAAGGCCAGGATGGGCCCCAGCTCTGGCCTCACCCATGTGGGCTACACAGAGCATCTCCGGAGATGCGCCCTGGGGCACCCTGGCCCCAGGGTTTCACCTCCCCATGCCCCAGACCCACCGGGAGCAGGGCTGGCTGCTGCCCCCACTGGGCCCCTCGTGCTGTGGGCAGGAGACCGGGCCAGAGGGACCTTTGGCCCGACGCAGCCCAGCTGTTCTGCTGCTCTCGGGGAGGGGCTTGGCGTAAAGCTTCCTTGTCGCTCTGTGTTTCTGCTGGAGACGGCGGGTCCCAGGCACGGGCCTGGCCTGGGAGCGCTCGGGAAGCTCAGTGCTGGTCCCTAGTGTCGGGAACGTTCCCACAGCCTGGGCTGGCCCGGGGAAGGGGCCGTGTCCCGCACACAGCGAGTCACCTGGGCCCAGCAACACCCCCGGGGCTGGCAAAGGGACCTGGCTGGGGCCGCTGCCCTGGCCGGGGGATTCGCCAGCCTGGCTCCAGCGCCAGAGGCTGGGGGGGGGGGTCACCCCGCCCCACCCCCCGG